AGTGTGCCAAATCAGGCACCACACGTGGCGCCACACAGTTTGGTGGGTCCCATGTACCACACGCGACCACCCCACAACCAACTTATCTCTTCACCGCTTTCAGTGCTACCTTATCTCCTCGCTCTTTCTTTCTCCCACGGACGCCTTTGTTCCTCTTTTGCTGCTTCTTCCATCAGTCCACCACACAATCCATGGCATCTCCTGGTTGCTACACGATGGTAGCAGTCCGCGCTGTTGTCCCGCTTCCAATCAATTTGCGCCTCAAACCAAGGGGACAGGGAGGGGTCAGGGTGGACGGGACGAGCGGGCTTCTGGCCCGGACCGCGGCCCGTTATGGACCGGACCGTACGGGCCTGGCTCGCTAGATAATATGGCCGGTCCGGTCCGTGAAAACGAGACCGAAATTCAGTTGGTCTGGTCCGGTTAAAGCTCGGTCCGGCTCGGAGGACCGAAGGCCCAGCCCAATAAAGCTAATCAGAAGAGCCCAGCCCAATAAAGCTAATAACAGGGGCGTGCGTGACCTAGCGAACTGCCACTGCATCCTCTTCCTCGCACGCGCCGCCCCTCTTCCTCCCCTGCGCCGCCATCTTCGTCGACTTCCTCTCCCCGGCACAACCTCGCGCCGCCGCGCCTCTACCTCTCGCCGTCGTCCCCTCGCGCCACCACGCCTCTGCCTCGCGCCATGCTGCTCCCTCTCTCTCCCGTGCCTTTCTCTCGCGCCGGCGTGCATCAGGTGCTTCTTCTCTGACTCCGGCCACCGTGCTGCTACTCCGACCACCACTCCGATGTCCTGGGCCCACATGGCAGTGACTGGACGTCGTCAGGACCGCCAGGACCGCCGGTCCGCACCGAGCTTCATGCCAGCCGGTCCGGTCCCTGTAATCAGGACCGCTGCACAGCTCGGTCCGGTCCGGCCCGGACCGCCGGCGTCCGGTCCAAACGGCGGCTCGGACCGGGACCGGACCGGCCCGGACCGTGTCCACCCTGAGGGAGGGGGGAGAATGGTAGCTGTGGGGAAGAGGGGCGGCGACGCCGTGCGGTGAGCAGGGGGCATACCGGCCACTTTTTTTCTGCCGGAGTTGATGACGGGACTGCAGAAATGCTGCATCCCGCCATGGATTTTGCTGGAGCTGGCGTTTTGCAATGCTGGAACGACGGACGGCGTTATCAGCAGCGGGACCAACCTAATTTCTTTTATAGGAACCAACCGAATTTCTCTTTGCTACTACTAACTTCGTTTTTTGCTGGAACTTGCATTCATTTTTGCTACCACCGGCTCATTTTTTTTGCTGGAACCAGCGGATCTTTTTGCTACCATCATCTTTGGATTTTGCTGAAACCAACTTTTTTTTTGCTACCACTGGCTTTGTATTTTGCTGGAACTAGCATCCATTTTTACTACAACCATATAGGGTTTGTGCTGGATCCGTGTAATTTTGCTACCACCGTCTATTTATTTTGCTGGAACCGGACCAGTTTTTTGCTACCACCGGCTTTGGCGGCAAGTCAAACCATCTCGCCACTAAAGCTGCAACCGGGAGTCGACAGCAACGGCGAGGACGGTTTGCGGCGGACGCCATGGTAGGGCTACCATGGATGCACGAAAGGCGACGGAAAAGCTGCTACGGGTCAATGACTTTTTTTTGCGATTGACAACAGCAAGCGTCGGCGGCGAGCTTCTCCGGCGAGCATCGGAGGCGAGGAAAACCGGCGAGGATGGGAACGCGCGCTGCGGGACGGCGGGAGGATATAGGGGGGCCGCCATGTGTTTCCTTAGTGGCGATGCGAAGGTTGAGAGAGACGATGGAGAACATATAGATCGAACGGTTACACGCTTTGGGATCCAAGGGCTGCGCGGCGACCGGCCCAATTTGGGCCGGTCGCCCGGCGCCTATTAGTCGCCATCCAAAATAGGCCATGCATTTTTTGTCTCAAGCCGCTGGTTTCTTGTATAGCGTGTTGTACGGATAAGAAAAAACGCTGGGTCCTAGCCCCCCGTGTCGCTCCCGCGAGCGACGGGGGAAACCCTCGCTGCCGCCGGTCCTAGCCCCCCTCCCCTCCTCCTCTCTCCTCGCCGCTGCCGCCGCACTCACTGGTGGGCAGAGCCCGGCCGACCGCAGCGGCGGCGGGGCCTCCTCTCCTTCCTGAACGTTGGTGGGCGGCGCGGGACGACCTCGCCGGTCGGGGACGCGGTTCTTCGTGGGGCACGACGGCGCAGGTGGCTGCTGCCCAGTGTGGTGGGCTACGTGTGGTGGTCGTCGGGGGTTCGCCCGTGGTGGCAGAGGCAACGGTGCGGGCTTGGCGGCGGCGGAGGCCCAAATCGATCTGGATTTGGGGGCTGTCCTCTGGCTGGCGGTCCGGGGGCTGGCCATGACCGGGCGTGGTCGTGGCGCTGGGCGTGGACCGAGGTGGCGCACGGCCAGCTGCTGCAGGCGGCTGCTTCCGGTGTTGCGGCGGTCCTCAGTGGATTTGGGCTGCCACGGCATGGTGGGAGCCCATGGTGGTCGCATGGGTCGGCTCATGGCTGCGGTGTTGCATCGGCGTGGTTCAGCTCATGATGGTGTACAGGTCGTGGCACAACGGCGGTTGGGCTCTCCGGCGTCGGCTCGTATGCACGCAGCCCTTGGGGATGCTGTTGGTCTCTCTCGTGGATGCAGGTTGTGGCCGGTCCGGCTCCTCGCGCCGTTGAGCGTGTGGCTGGTTTGAGCCAGGTGCTGATCCAGGCTGGGAGTCCGGTTGGGCGTCAGAGGTGAGTCTGGAGAGGTGGTGGGAGAGATGGGTGGCGCCAATGTGGTCGGGCCACCTGTCACCGGCAGGGGTGCCGAACATTGACGTAGTCCGATCCCGCCTCGCCTCTTCTCCGACCTGGTCGCTCCCTGATCGATGTGGCCATTCCTGTTGGCGGCTCTGTCGGTTTTCGGAGCTTGCCGGTCGGCTCATCGCCTACAACCATGGAGGACCTTTCAGGCGTCTTGTTTCTTGGGCAGCGGCCCAGGTGGTGGGAGCCGCGGTGCTCGTGGGCTGAGGCCGCGGCTCAGGTGTGAGGGCGGCTAGCCGCCATGGCCGCATGGGCGGTGTGGTTGTAGTCATTTCGTCATCCTACCGAAGGCGGAGTATGCTTACCGGGGTGAAAACCCTGTCTAGTTTAGGCCAGACCGACGGAGGCGGCGTCTGTGGGTGTCGTTATCTTTCAGAAGTCTCCGTTGTGGTTGCTCCCTCCCTTCGTCGTGCTCCGGATGAAAATCCGATCTCTGGATCGGGCGGTGGCGGCGCTACGGTGTTGTGCCCTTCCTGAAGGCACCATCTTGGAGTGCACGGTGTCGACGATTCCTAACTTCACCTCTTCGTGATCTCATCGGAAGGGCGCCGGCGGCTCCGTAGTGATGCTTACTGTCTTCTCTTGTTGTCTACGTCAAGTCTGTCGGTGTGGTGTTGTTGTAGCCCTTTGGCACCTATGTATCTGGCCCTGAGAGAGTGTGGTTCTCTTGTTGTGTGTTGTTGTTTGTATCGGATCCGTTTGTTGGTGCTTGCTGCTTTATATATAAAGCGGGGCGAAAGCTTTTTTGGGTATAGCGTGTTGTGCACCTCAGCTTATGTTTGATATATGGTGACCCCAGCCACCGTGATGCATGCACATTCTGTTGCTGCAATGTATTGCAATGCGCCTGGATTTGCATGGTGTTCTGTTGGCAAGAGGGGTGAAAAAGCTGAAAGCCCTGCTCACACATGGTATTGGATGTTCTACAGGATATAAAAGGACACGCCCAGCTACGCAAGTTGGGAGTGACTGGTGTCAAGAAGGAAAATGGACAAGAGTTGTGTTCAGCAATTGTTGGTCTCACACGCTTGGAGTCATTGTCAATCTGGTCAGAGGGGGAGTGAATTTTGCTAATTAGCATTCCTTGGTGATAAAATGTATGAGTAAAAGCTCTTGGAGATTAGGCGAACATCAGGCCTGCTGTAGTACTCGGGGACAAACAGAGCTTCTGCTGTTGGCTGGGCAGTTTGTGCTTGCAATTTCTGTTGGCGGGCGGGCAGCCATGGCCATGCGGGTGGCATGGGTGCTGGTGGTCGGCGAAGCTTGGGTGCAATGGCGGGGGTTGAGCCGGGGTTATTACTTGCCCAGTTGGACTGGCCGACGGCGGCGGCGTCCGCGGACGTCGTTCCCTTCGTGAAGGCCGCGTCGCGGTTGTTCCCTCCCCATCGCATTGCTCCGGGTGAAAACTTGATCTTCGGGATCGGACGGTGGCGTCGCTTTGTAGTCGTTTCCCTTCTTGGAGGCACTGTCTTTGAGTCCGTGCTTCGTCGTGGTCTGTCTCACCCCTCCTCGGTGGCCATCTAGGCTTGGTGGCGTTGGGGTGGTGTGGCGGTGCCCGGCAGCTATGTATCTTGCCTTGGGTACGTGTGTCGTGTGTGGTGGTGGTGTGTGTTTGGATCGGTTTGTCTGATGGTCTGTGCTTTATATATAAAGCGGGGCGAAAGCCTTTTTCGGTAGTTGTGGATTGCAATCGTTCATAGGCTTGAGAGAGTACTGCCAATGTTTTTCTTTCAACTAAGACATGCGTCAAATTCTTGAAACCAACACCTTTGAACAGTCCAAAAAAAGCGCATACACACACAAAAAAATCACCATATTGAATCCTTACATGATAATCAATAGACATTGAATCGATTGTATGTAAGATGTGAAGACTGCCTGTAAACAACATAGAGATCGCAATAAAAACAACAACGACAAAATCGCCAAGTTTAACTAGAAGCATCATTTTGAACATCTCCATTTGCAAGCTCTGTAATTTCAGCAACGAAATGTAGACGTACACAATACACACCCTTCTTCACTTTCATGATCCGGTGCTGGACGTACGTACACGCGGAGCTCGCTAGCCAATCAAGAGGAAACCTACATAAAGTAGTTTTCAGATAAACAAAGAAGCATATTGTGTCAAACTTAATTAATAACGAAGTTATCTGGATGAGATTTGTACCATTTTACAAGTTCATGGCTCATCAGCTTGTATCATTTGATCTTCATCAAACCGCCTTATCTCTAATGTAGGGCGGTTGGGGTGCTCGCGGGCCATAGTCTTGAATGCACCCTCCACAACCTTCGCATCTGCAGCCGTCCCGCCTTCGCAATTCATGGAGACCCGAAACCAACAAAGGCTGGAGAGGTGATGGATGCCAAAATCAAAATCACCACTGGTAAATTTGAACTTCTGTAGGTCGATGCCGAGGTCAAGCCACCTGAGATCCGGCATAGCCCCTGCTTCAATCATCCTCAACCCCATCATATTAAAAACAAATAGTTGTAGCTTTCTGAATAGTCCACTGTTGATGGTGATGGGTCCCACGCGTGTAGCCGGCAGATTGAACTCAAGCAGATTAGGTATGCTTCCAACCATCTCAACGTCATGCTGGTCCGTCTTCCCTTTCCACACAGTTAAAGTTTCTAGGTTTTTAAGTGACACCAACCATCTACTAATCCAACAGATTTCCCCAGCTCTAATATAAATACCGCGGATGCTGTTGAGAGCAGGGAAGAAGAACGGATGACTTGTGGAGACTGCATCGTCTTCTCTCAGACAAAACATAACAGAGAGGCTGTGAAGCTTGAATTTCTCCAATTTGCAGAGGGAGGACACTAGCTTTTCTCTCTTGCAACTTGCTTTCTCAATTTTACCTGAGTCCCAAAGAATGGACAGCTTCCTCAGATCTGATAAATTCCCAAGCTCTTCCAGAAACTTCAGTGATTGCATAGAGATGCCTATGCGCCCAAGGTCTTGCAAACTCTCCATGTTTCCGATACCATCAGGAAATTTTGTTGCAGTCTGAACAAACAGGCGTTCCAGTCGTCTTAGCTGAGTAGCCGACTCAGGTATCTCATATACTAATGTGTCTGACACATCTAGTGTCTGTAGATACACCAAGTCTCCAATTTCTTTAGGAAGCTCACTAATATATGTCGAACAAACGTTCAAGTACCTCAACTGAAGAAGTCTTCCAACATCTTTGATATGATTATTTGCTAGTAAACTGCAATCCTGTAGGTCCAGGACACGCAGAGCATTTGTCTTGGCAAGAGACGGAAAATATTCACGGGAGCTCCCAAATGCAACGAGTGACCGAGCATGTGATAAATTCAATTGCTCGACCTTCCCTTCATCATCATTTCCCACCAGAGCGAGCCGACGAACTCTGCTCTCTGGCTTTGAAGGATTGGTTGACAAGGTACAAAAGTTCTCTCCGGTACACTTGTGAATGAGGAAATCAAGAACAGTGTCATGCACTACGCAGAAACATGCCTTGCCATCATACTCTATCTCCATCGGTTGTACTAAACTTCTGTTGACAAGCTCATGGAAATATGCCTCTCCTATATCAACAAGATCATCCCCATATTCACCGTGTATGAAACCTTCCGAAATCCATCTGTGGACTAACCTTCGCCTTTCAATATAGTGATCCTCTGGAAACATACTCAAGTACAATAGGCAACTTCTGAGATGGAGGGGAAGGTCAAAGTAGCTCAGGGACAGTATGTAATTCATTGCATCAATATCATCATTTTTTCCTTGTGCAAAGACAATAGAACTGTGAACCTTATTCCACTCCTGTTTCGTTTTCCCAGTAGCCAACAAGCTGGATATTGCAATGATGGCGAGTGGTAAACCACCACATTTTTTTAAGATATCTTCTGAGGCTTCTTTCAAGTCATCTGGGCACTTTTCTTCACAACCAAATATGCGGTCAAAAAACAACTTCTTCGAGTCAGAAACATCAAGTGGTTGGATTTTGTACAAAAAATCCCCTTCAGAAGAGCAGCATGACTTAGCGACTTCATTTATACGTGTTGTGGTCATTACTACACTACCACAATTGTTCCTCACCAATGCACATTCCAAAGTTCTCCATGCTTTTACATCCCATACATCATCAATTATGATAAAGTACCTGCAGTATATATAAAACGATAGGATGTGCTGAACATAAGAGTATCAAAGCATATGGTTCAACATTTATAGTAATTAAATTGAGAAACTATGCTAAAACTGGAATCTTTTTTATAAATTATGCATATAGTTACAATATTAGGACTAGGTCTAGGTTCTGGCGTGCCTTTTGTCATGATTGAATCACACCTATATTTCCATTTGTTCCTAGAATGTATGAGGGATTAGGAGATGTTAACAATTTCTTTTTTTAGACAAAGGAGATGTTAACAAATGTGCTGAAAAATCTAGTTGAGCCCTATCTTGGGCCTGCACAAACATTGAGAACGAGTGCTGGGCCAATGGCCCACCAACCATCAACCATACCAAACACCTGTACCGGGTCATCAAAACATCACGATCCAGACTTAAACAATTGTGCCACACAAAGGCAGCCAGGCCAAGTCAAATTAGTAATAAACCTCGTTAACCTAAAAGGCGAATCAAGGGACCTCTCTCTCTAAAGCAGAAATTAAACTAGTACGCTCGGTTCTTATTTGCACCCTTCAATGCGCCATCAAAGAAAAGGTGTTGTTTTTGGAACAAAAGGTGTATGGTTTGGGCCGCCATTGACGGGGATATCACAAGGTACTTCTATGCTGCCACCTCACAACGTTCGAGAAAAATGAAAACTATGGTTCTATGAGGACAATGAAGTTGAGTTATTTGACCACGACCACAAGGGTGCTCTGCTAAAAACATATGGGCAGCCACTTAATAGTGGCACAGGCTATGTGGCCCGCGCTACTGCTACTTATCAATAGCGCAGGCTAAAAGACCACGCTATAGGTACATAGTAGGAGCACGGGTATGGTAACACCGCACTACTGCTAAGTGGTACCACATCTTCGTGGAACAAGAGAAAACGGATACGTTTCTACAGATGAACCCTACCACTATTCATGACATTTATACAAATGAACCCTATTGGTCTTACCGGACTCGACAACTTTGGCCTAACTTCTACAGAAAACACTGGCATTCCATAAAACTCTCATCTTCCCCATCTTCCATGAATTCTATTCCTCAGAGCATCTACAACCGGAGTCCTCACGCCCCCCAGCCCTAGATGTCCGGGCGGCCATGCCGGTCATAAAAACAAGATCCAACCCCCGACGACCCCCACACAAACCCAGCCCAAACATCCAGGCTGTCTAGCACCCCTCATATCCAGCCCATATGTTGGGCGGATATTTGGACGCCCAGACTCATCCGCCATGTCGGATTAACGAACGGGACCCATTCAAAAACCCATCAGTCTGCCGGGTTCCTCCAATTTGGTGAGGACGCATTCATGTCGCTACTCAGGCATGCCACCCGAGGGACCAAATCCGGCTATTTAGGTCGGGCGGCAGGGGAAAAACCTAGGCGCCCCCATTCCCTCTTGTCCCTCGCATCCGCGCCGCCGTTCCCTTTGTCTCCTCTTTGACTTCCACAACAACATCTCTGTCCACCATGGTCCGCCCAAAATATAAATTACTAAAAATGCTCATGCCCGAGTGGCGGAAAGAGACCGCTGCCAAGATGCACACCAAGGAAGGATGCCGCACCACTCAAATTGCAGTGGAGCATGAGGAGGAGGAGGTGTGGGAGAACGAGGAGGTAGGCCTGGAGGACATTGAGGAGGCGTCGACCATGGAGGTTGAGCCCGGCGGCTTGGCATGGAGGACGCAGAGGCAGAGTTCCAACACACCCATGTGGCGAAGGCCGTGGTGTACATTGAGACGGAGAAAGCTGCCATCCTCGACTCGATCCAACCCGAGCGGGAGGTGCTGACGTGAGGCAGGAGCCTCTCTTCAATGATCTTGACGATGACAATGAGTATGAGAAGCAAGATATGTGGCCAGCTGTCAATGATGATGAGGCCAATCTGTCCGGTATGGGGTTCATCTATATCTCTGACGAGAAGTAGAAGTAGTGTAGTTTTCAGTCGAATGTAGCTCATTTTATCAATGTATTCTGAACTACGTAGGATGAATTTCACATTGCATTCGTTAGTATTGAATGGGAGTTTGTAAATAAGGGTGATCGGCTCCTATCCACGAACGCGCTACGCGTCCATGGACATATAAGGGGTGAGATTTGCACACTATGGTTGCAATTGCTCGTAACTTCAGAATGATTGCTCCTGGACACATTGTCCTACTGCACAAGGATTTCTCCTAGGCACTTTATAGACCTATTTCACTACAAAAATGCCCCATGAAAGCGGTAGCCAAGGTTCTAACCAATAGATTAAATCCCCTGGTCGCACTTCTAGTCCACGAGGACTAGCTAGGCTTCATGTCGGGAAGAAATATCGCAGAAACATTTATCTATGCGGCTGACCTACTTCACTCTTGCCACACTCAGAAGGTTCCGACCATGATCCTAAAACTAGATTCACAAAGGCATTCGACTCAAACTTCTGGCCATCATTGCTATTTGTTTTCAGACAATACAACTTTTCAAACATATTTACCTCTTTGAAAACATCACAAAAACGGGAAAAAATGTCAAGCGATGTCTTGGGGTTCCTGGATCAATTGCAAAAGTCGCCAAGGTGACCCACTCTCACCATACTATTCGTCATTGTTGTTGATGTCCTTACATATATTAATCCACCATCACCAATCCACTTCAATCCTATGCCACCTAATCTATGATAATCTCCGACCTACAAATCTCTAATATGCAGACGACCGTGTGTGCCCTTCTATTAATACCCATGTTAGTAGAAATCAATCCTAGACAACTTTGCCATGGGTCTGACAATCAAGGCACACCCAGGCTGTCACGCAAAGGGCTTGCATCAAAGATGTCTTGGATGATTTGGAAGCGTAGAAATGACTGCATCTTCGACCGTGTGTGCCCTTCTATTAACACCCTTGTTAGTAGAATAAAAGAGGAGGTCAGGGTATGGGCTTCGGCAGGCGCCGCCATGACTTAGAGTTGTCCTACCGATCACCTGGGACGTGCATTAGTATCTGAATACATGCTTGACCTACCTCTTAGGAGGACTGTAGCCTAAACCGTCTCTTTTCAATGAAATGAAAGGCAAAGGTCCTTTGTGTTTTTTCAAAGAAAATCTTTGCCATATCAAAACAGTGGATTCTACCTGGGTCCACCAACATTTGCTAGCTAAGGCTTTCCCAAATCTATTTACACTCGTCTTAGAACCTTTTTTTCGACAAAGGGTGGATTTTATTGACTCAATATGAAGCATCAAGAGGATACAAACACAATGAGTACACACCCGGCCTCTGCATAGCTAGGATGCGCCCAACCAATACCAACACACACACACGCAAAGACACGTCGGCTAATAGCAAAGTCATACAAGACCAAAGCTATGCCTATGTGTGAAAAAAACCGAAGCGATCAAATCCGCGATAGACAAACTACGACAATGACCTTATCCACACCAACTATCTCATGACACCACAAAGACGACAAGATTCTTCAACAGCAACGCCTTCATAAAGGGAGCGACGATCAAGCGCCGCCGTCACCGGATCCAACCACCAAAGGCCAGATTCTAGGTTTTCACCCTGAAAAATGGTCTCGGCATGTCCAAGCAATGCCTCCAACAAGGTAGCGACGTAAGAACATCGCCATAGCCAGGTATAACCAAACGTACCTAGGTTTTCACCTCGGGGCTCGAGACCGGGTGCTCAAGTAGCACCACCATCGAAGTCACCATGCGTTGTCACCACCGCTTTCTCTCTATCCCAACAGCCATGCGATGTGTGACCATCGTCTCTGCACAACCATACCCTCTGTGTCAAACCATTGTTCGTAGATTGCACCTCGCTGTCAGGACAACCACCGGATCTGGAGAAGAAAACTCTCGCCAAGACCTTTTAATGGCCACTGCAATTCGCAGTGAAGACACCGTCACAGGCCGGAGGGGTCACCACACGATCCAATACGGTGGCACCACTATCCGGGGTCAAGAGATCGACCGATGCCGGCACTAGACGGGATCGAGGAAAGGAGCCAGCGCGCCCTGGACCTGACGGAGTGCGTCTTTGTGCGAGACGGCAGACCAAACAACCGAGAGCTAGTGGCTGGATCGAATCCACCTATAGCCCAGGGATGTTGCAGTCACCTAGATCGCATCATCACATGTTGGAAGGGCAAACCAGCCCAGCTTGGATCCATTATATGATGTGTGTTGCCGCTGGGTATTTTGACCCAAGTAGAGCACGCCGCACCTGCAACCGTTCGAAGATCTGATCCGTCGCTGGTGCTTTGCGGCCTGCTGCTACCCGAGATATGCACAAGGAACCTTGATCCGCCGTCTAGCCGAAAGAACGGGCCCCGACGCCGCCACCAACGCGCAGGCTTTGCCTGGCGCCGGCCTCCGGCGGCGGCGAGGGGGAAGAGCAGGTGACGGGGGTCGAAGGTGCTGTGTATTGGGTCGCCGCCCGGGTCGCCTAGGTTAGGCGACGCGGGGGCCCTTTTTTTTGACTCACTCGTCTTAGAACCTAATGTCCTAGTCTAACCTGCGGAATTGCCTAACCAACATTGCTTCTCTCGTGTTACAGTCTTTGTTCTGTTTATTGCAGGATTTCCAGCTCTCCTCTGAGTTAACGACTACTTCCTCAATGCGAGACTAACTTTCTCCATCAAAAACGCCTATTCCGTGCTCATGGGGGTTTATCCAAAGGGCCCAAATGCTGAGCTCATTTGAAGATGCTGAGCGCCCAACAAGGTCAAGTTCTTCACTTGACGACTGATTATCAGACGCAACATCCTTTTCAAGCACATTGTCTACTCAAATCCTTCCCCAGGTGTCAATACCCCGTAGAGGACACGACATATATTCATCCGGTGGCCCCTCACTATTCAGCATTTTGGCACATCTACGTTTACGCATCAACGACGCTGACATCGATGATCTTTGGGATCTTATCGGTTGACCAAGACTCCACTATGACATCTGGCTCTCCCTGCTCACATACTTTGGAAGATCTGGGATGCCACGAACACAATGG